AGGGAGCGCATCCCCTTTTATAGATAAAGGGGATGGCTTTACAAGTGAGAGGGTGAGGGTACGTATGCTACTGGGCTTCATTGCCCATGTCGACGGGTACAAGATAATGGTAGGCGCCCACAACACTGTTGATGTCGCTGTAGAATGTCAGATGCATGTGGGAGGTTGCGTTGCCTGCTTTAGAAATGGTAGATGTCGGTACCTGCAAATACTGTTGATGCCTAGAGGCATGTGAGGAGTTTCACCACGTTCACCTGGTATGGTAAATCTTGGCGCCCACAATACTATAGATGCCTAGAGGCATGAGGGGCCTTACCATATGGGAGTTAATGGCACCCACAATACTGTAGAGGGAAATGTCGGCGCCTACAATACTATTTGTGTTAGGGCGGTTGCAGAGTACTGTTCCTACAGGCATACAGGGTATGGTCCCTGGTACCGTGGTTTGACTTGTGCACCCTGGCTTGCTTTCTCCATTTGTCCCCTGGTCCTTTCCGAGCGGGCGTCCCTGGTCGGATGGCCCCAGTCGGCTCTAGTGGCGCTAGCCGGAGAAGAGCGGTGAGCAGGGTTTCTGTGAACCCCGGTCGGAGACGCGGGGTCAGAGTCAGAAGTAGCGCTTGGGCCAGGCCTTGTCTGGAGGCGACATGAGTCCAAAACGAGCGCTCCGATTGGAGAGGTGGGCCAAAGTAGTTGACGAGCGGGCGTTGTTCCTCTTCGGCCAGACCTTCCGGTCGGTGACCGGACCGCCTTTTCGGCCTATTGTTTAGACTCTTGGGCCGGCCCATGAGTTGTGTGCTGTCTGCCTAGGCCAAGCCTTGGCGCAGAAGCCAGTCCCCGAGAAACCCCGGGTTTATGAACCCGACATGTCCCATGACCACCTGTGAGTTGACTTTGATGATGCACCTTCGGACGCCCAATGCTCTAAGCTTTTGCTAGCCTAACAGAACTGCATCATATTCGGCGATATTGTTGGTAGTGAGGAATTGCAGTCGCGCTGCATATCTTAGCTCTAGGCCGTTTGGTGGTGTCAGAATAGCTGCGATCCCTGCGCCTAATGCTCTCCATGCTCCATCATAGTGTATTATCCATACTGGCTCTTCGAATTGTAGGGTAGTGTCAAACGCGGAAGGAGTCCAGTCCGCAATGAAATCTGCTAGCACTTGGGACTTGATTGCCAATCTGTGCTCAAAGTCGACTGCGTATTCGTTTAGTTCGGCAGCCCACTTTCCAATTCGCCATATTGCTTCGCTGTTTTAGAACAAAGCTTCCAGAGGTTGGGCCGATAATACCCTAATGCGATGAGCCTAGAAATAGTGCTTTGGTTTTCTAGAGGCCATGACAACAGTGTATGCTATCTTTTCGAGCTCCGAATAGTTGAGCTTTGCTCCTGACAATGCTTCGGACACAAAATAGATTGGGAACTGCTTCACCTTGTTTTCATGCTCTTTTTCTTCTACCAAAACAGCACTTACTACTGTTGGCGATGCGGCCAAGTAAAGCAATAGTGTCGCCCCCGGCGAAGGCTTTGTCACTGTTGTTAGCTTTGTCAGGTAATTCTTGAGATCGTCGAAAGCTTGCTGCTGCTCAGTGCCCCATTCGAATAGATATGAGTTTCTTAGTGCCCTAAAGAACGGCAATCCCCTTTTGGCTGATCTTGCAATGAATTTGTTCAATGCTGCTAGCCTACCAGTCAGTTTTCTGTACCTGCTTCTTGTTTGTTGGTGGCTGCATATTGATTATTGCCGAAATCTTGTCTGGGTTTGCTTCAATTCTTCTAGCCGAAACCAGACAGCCTATCAATTTTCCTTTATGAATGCCAGAGATGCACTTGTCTAGATTTAGCTTTAGGCCACTCTTACGGAGATTTGCAAAGGTCTCTTGAAGGTCTTCGATGTGTGTTTCTTTCTTATCACTCTTGACTACTATGTCATCAACATATGCAACCAAGTTTTTGCCCTTCTGCTTGTGGAAGACCCCGTCTATCATTCTAGAGAAAGTGGGCCCCACATTTCGCAAGCCCTCTGGCATGCAGCGATAGCAGTAGGTCCCCCCGAGAGTGATGAAGCTTGTTTTCTCTTCCTCCTCCGGGTTTGACCAGATTTGGTGATGTCCTGAGAAGCAATCCAATAAGCTCATGACCTCGTAGCCTACGGCTATGTCCACTAGCTTATCGATTCTGGGTAAGGGGTACAAATCCTTTGGGCAGTGTTTGTTGAGGTCAGTGAAATCAACACACATTCGCCACTTTCCATTTTTCTTTCTGACCATTACAATGTTGGCTAACCATTCTGGGTATTGTACAGGTCTGATGACCCTGGCGTCTAGTAGCCTTTTTACCTCTAGTTTCGCTGCCTCTGCTCTTTTTGTAGAAATTTTTCTGAGCTTTTGCTTTCTCGACTTTGCACATTTCACCACATTAAAATGGTGCTGTGCCAAGTCCCTGCTGACCCCTTGGAGATCATTTGTTGTCCAGGCAAAAACATCGTTGTTCTCATGCAGGAATTCTATGAGTTCTTGCTTATCTTGAGCTGTTAGATCCGTGCTGATATGAACGCACTTATCTGGCGTGAACTTGGACAGTGGCGTCTTCTCGGTGTCTTCTGCAGATTCTGCTCTTGGCGCCATAGTCTTTTTGCGGTCTTGTTCTTCTTCTTCCTTCTTCTTGGCAACTTCATTGATGAGGCTGTACCCTAGGACATGCTTGCCTTCTATTCGCCTTGACACGAGTTGGTCCTCGTGCACCATGATTATCCCGAATGGAGATGGCATTTTCATGCACAGATAGCTCTGCTTGATTACTACCTCGAATCTGTTGGTGAAACCCCTTTCGAAGATTGTCGTGTAAGGGTAGTCCATATTGACTATGTCAAACATGATGGTCTCGGTGCGAACCCTTTCGCCTTCTTCGAAAGATACCGGGATGGCCTTCTTGCCTAAGGCATCTATTTTCTTTCCACCGAAAGTCGAACAATGAGTTCCCTGCCGGTTCTAAAGTTTGTCTATCTTGGCCCATTGACTCGAAGTCCTTGATGAACAAGATGTCCGCCGAACTGCCAGTGTCAATTAGAATGTTGTGCAAAGTGAAACCTGCGACGTTCGCTGGAGTGACAAAAGCGTCGGAATGAGGGTAATCCCGTACTTGAAGATCATTTTCATCGAAAGTGAGTGTAACCAATGACCAGGCTGGACGATTCAATGGCAGTCTTGGCGACATGGTGTGCACCCTTCGCTCATAATCTCTTCTGGCTCTTTTGCTTTCGTGCTCCTGGTTGGACCCGCCTGTTATGGCGAAAATGTGGCTGCGGGACGGGAGTATGCTATTTACGGTTTGGTTTTCGTGTGTGTTTTCCTGCTTTGCTTGCTGCTGTTGACTTGACTGCTATTGCTCTGGTTGTACCGGCGAGGACACCACTACTGACTGGAGCGGATATTGAGGCAACTGCTAGTAAGGCTAGTACGCTTGGTGATGCCTGGCGAAAGGTGGCTGAGCTTGGCTTTGTGAAAATGACGGCTGTTGAACTAAGCTGCATCCAGCTGGATAGTGAGATTGGCTGCTATAATACTGGCTATGCATGCTATCGACGCGCGGGGCGTTGTGATAGATATGCTTTGGTGCTTCGCTGTTCCTGGAGGCTTCGTCCTTCTCCTTAAGTTTTTTCGCCATCTTGTTATACTTGCAATCTCTGGTTATATGTCCAGCATTTTCGCCGCATACTACGCAATATGGTGATCTTTGGCCTCTGCCTCTTCCCCTGTTATCGCGTCCTCCTCTCGCACCGCGTCCACCTCGGCCGCCGCGCGAGTTTGGATCGAAAGGGCGGTTTGTGTTGAACTGTGGCTGGCTACGCTGAGGCTGCTCTGGCTCGACTGTCCTAAATTCTCCTGCAAGTTATTGATCGTGCTATAGGGCCTTATGTTTCGCTGGTGGGTGTCTGAGGTGGTCTTGATGCTTTTGGGGTCTGCCCTAGCTGACTGCGCGTAGCCTTTTGCAGTTTGAAATCGTCGTCTGATCTGGCATACTGACCCATTATCTCGAATAGCTCTTTGACTGTTGCGGGTGGCTTTCGGGATAGTTTGGCGGCGCACTGCCCTACGGCCAACCCTTCTATTGCTGCTCCGATTACAGTTGCTTCCGGCACATTTGGTACTTGGGCTTTGACTTGGATAAACCTTTCTAGGTATTCGGATAACGACTCGTCATTTCGCTGAATGCAGTTCAAGAGATCTCTCGTGGTTTTTGCACCAGGCTGGTAGCCTTGGAAAGTTGCCAATAACTTTGTTTTTAATTGTTGCCATGAATTAATTGATAGCAGCTTGAGTGATGTGTACCAGTCGTGAGCGATGTCTTCAACTGCCATTATGAGTGATTTCGCCATGATTTGTGCGTCCCCCCCCTAGCCGAAGATACTGCGGTTTTGTAGCATGCGATAAATTTCCTTGGATTGGCCTTTCCATCCAAAGATAGGATGCGTGGTTTGTACCTGATCGGCCATGGGTGCAACTGCAACTCCCTCGCCAGCGGAGAGTTGTAGTCATATAATTCTGAGTCTCCTTTTTGCTTGGGTGCTTTGGGTATTAATATTTCCGCCTGGCTAGACAATGCCTGCCACACCTTCCCTCTGCAATCTCTGAATTTCCTTGACCAATCTTTTCCTTTTGCATTCGGCCTGTCTGACTGCTCACTGAGTCTGCTCTGCCTTGTTCCTTGTCGCGGCTTGCTGTACCAGCTGGTCCCTTTGATGCTGTAACCTGGTGATATCTTGCTGATACTGATCCAACTTCCTCAGGTCTCTAGCTTGCTCTGTGATTTCACCATCTTCGTCTTCATTCGGTACTTCATTTCCGTCTTGATTGAGCTGGACTTGCTGAACCACTCCTTCGGGGCGTCTCCTCTCAACCGAGAGGAGGCACTATGTTGTCTCCCACCGCCTGGGGTGCTAGTGGTTCCGCCGTTGCCGCCGCTGCCACGCCATCTCGCAGCGGTTGTCTCTGCAGCTGCAATGGCTGCTGCCTTGGATGCTTCCGCCCTGTCCGCTGGTGGCTTCGGCGCTTTGTTCTTTGGTGGCATGATAAGCTCGAACAACAACCATGGTGGGTGCCAATGTTGTTCTAGGCTGTGACCTTACAGCCCCTGGTTGTCACCCGAACAAGTATCGAAACTCAAAAGAACAAACTGGCGAAAGGCCACTGCAAGTGACCCGATTTGATTTCATCAACTGGAATTAGGGTTCTTCTCCCTCTCTTACAACCCCCGTAGGGGCACTATTTATACACCTCCGTAGCACTTTACATGGACACAATTGCCACTGCAACAGCCCCGATCCGGGGGAATATTCCTATTCGCCGAGGGTAATCCGGTCTTCTCCGTCTTCACCTCCCTCGGGTTCCAACCACCCTCGCCACAGGCCGGTGGTCCCGTCGGCCAGTTGTAGCCACGTACCGCCCCCTCCTTAGCGACAAATAGGCAGAGAGTTCCTACAATGCCAAAGAAAATTGCCCTGTGAAAAAGCTCAACCGACCCCGTGTTTTTGCCCGATGGCCAAGCTTTCGCCCGATTGGGTGAAAGCTCTTTTTTAGCTACCCGCTCTTGCATCGTGCAAAAGCACGTGCGACGACCGAACGCTCCCTTTCGCCCTCAATGGGACGCGAAAGGCGCCGACCGCTGTACGAATCCCCCTTTCACCAGAAGGGGGTGCAAAAGCTGAGGGGCGTAGCCCAACATTGCCTTTCCAAGGATCCAAGTGTTTGATCATCTTGTTAAGAATTCCTTGAAAGGCTCCAATACCAAACACCATGTCAGATATTGGTATTCCCAAATACTTCATTGGTAACTCTCCCAACCTGTAGTTTAACATGTTGGCTTTCCTTTCTTTCTCTTCCTGACTGTACCCAATTAGGATAACTTCACTCTTATGATAATTGATCTTTAAACCAGATAACCACACAAAAACAATATAAGATCACTTTCAGGTTTGTAATAGAGCTGTCTGACCCATCTATCATTATTACAGTATCATCTGCATACTGAATGTGAGAAATGCCATTTGGGATAAGATGCTCAACCACTCCCTTGATCAGGTGCCTGTTGACAGCCTTGTCCAACATAGCACTGAGAGAGTCAGCAACTAGATTAAAGAGAAGCGGAGATAGGGGGTCCCCCTGTCTTAGCCCTCTCAAAGTTCTAAAGTAAGGCCCTCTAGTGCCATTAACATTGACACAAACCTGTCCCCCCTTGACAGTTTGCATCACCCAATTAATCCACCTACCAGGGAAACCCTTCCCTTGCAAAACTTCATCAAGGAAGTCCCATCTCACCCTGTCATAGGCCTTTTCAAAGTCTATTTTAAGAATTAAGCCCTGCTTCTTCTTGTGACTCAGCTCATGTAGTACTTCATGAAGGATAACCACTCCTTCTAGTATGTTTCTCCCTTGAATAAAACCAGTTTGATTAGGACCAATAACCTCCTTGGCTACTGGGGTAAGCCTGCCTGTGAGTACCTTAGTGAAAACTTTATAATCAACATTTAGCAGACAGATAGGCCTGTATTGCTTGATAGTGGCAGCATCTTTGACTTTGGGTACTAAAGTGATCACTCCATAATTCAATCTCTTAATGTCCAAATTACCCATGTAGAAATTCTAGACATATTTCTAGAGGTAGAAAATCGATTTCTACATCCGGGCCAAATTCTAGCCATCTCCAAAAATTGATTTCTAAAGTTGGTCCGAAATCTAACAGCGTCTAAAAATAGTTATCCAGGATTTATAAACCGGACAAAAAAGCAAAAAAAAAAGATTATTCTGGAAGAGGCCCACGAGCTAGCCCCACATGGTCACACGTCGCAAGTCATCAATCACACGATTTTTTTCGCGAAATAGCAACCAGCCCCACACGGTTGCTGGAATCGAACTCACAACTTAGGCATCCTATGATACTTCCCTTACCACTACGCTTCATCTCACTTGATTTGCAAAAATTATGAATTTTACTATACTCCACCTATTTTTAGAGATGGCTTGAATTTCAGCCGCCTCTACAAGTACCTCCATTTCTAAAGGCTGCTGGCAAGCTGAACCACCTCTAAAAATACTACTTTTAAAGGCCGGCTCAGAAACTGTTTTAGAGAGATTTTGATTGAGCCACCTTTTCGCAAAAAAACGTCCATTGCAAAAAAAAAAAGTTTCTGTTGTATTAAAACGTCCCATTGATTTTGTTTGAATCTATATCCGATAAAATTTTGATATGGATATCCACATTCAGATCCGGTTTCTGATATGGATGCTAAAATGGATGTATTCGAATCTGTGGTCTTTGTAACTTTTCACTATACAAATCCAAATCCATATTTGAAAATATCATGGAATATCTAACTATTATCCATATCCTTAAGAAATTTACAAATGATGAAACTATTTAAAATTATTTTATAATGACAAATGATATTAGTTTTCGCCACACTTACTCAAGTTTTGTAGGATCAATCCATATATATGATCCTTGTTATTTAAGTTAGGCAAGGTCTGCTAAGTACCTTCTTGTATTGAGATGATAATTTATAAGTTGTTTTGCAAGTGAGGATTTCCCTACTTCTATGCCCCGTCCCCTCGACGAACTTGGAGTACTTGATGGCCGACGTGTTAGATGTAGTGGCATCAAACATTTATTAGTGGCATCAAACATGCTGTCACTAAGATGCTAATCTCTTGCAGTACTCCTAGTCCAGAATCTTAGTGACAGCATTTGAAATAAGAGCATTAGTGCCAGAACCTTAGCCAAATGGATATATAGCAGATACTTATCTCTTCAGACATCACTTATCATTTGTCACTTGCTGTCACTAAGATGAGCTAATACTTCTTTCACTGAAAGCAAAATACGTGGTCCTCATTGATTAGTCCGGTTTTTGTTTGTTTTTTAATACACTTAAGATTTCACCTTCAGACATGTGATTGAAGTCTGACAGAAGTATCTCAGTGGTATCCACAAAGGTTGAAGTAAATGCATCTCTCAAAGTTGAAATTGAATTAAATTCTCCATATGGCCCAGTATTTTAAACGATTGGCTACCTATTCTGCGTTGTTGAGTTATAATCTTTATTTTCATCTTTGTCAGGCCATGCGATTGCTTTCATTGCATCTGAGGACTGTGGCATAAAATCTAGAGCTCAAAGATTTTTTAGTAGCATTACCAATTCAATTGAGACAGTACTGAAATGCAATGTGGAAGTCAAAGTTGGTCCACTAGCAGAATTGATGGACGGAGAAATAACATTAGAGGCTGGTCCTAATATAAGAAGATACGAGTTTGATGTCTTGACTCTTGAGTTGCTCATCAAACAGTGACTGACTAAAGGGAACTTTGGATTCAAGGAGAAGCTTTGATTATCCTGATGAAGTAAAGAAAGAACAGGAGACGTACAAAAATACTGCATCTGCTGATGAAAGGTTGTGTTCGGAAGTTCCCATCCAGACTTCAAAAGAATCAACAAATGATGATCAGCGACTGGAAAGTGCATGGCTTCAGGTTTCTGAAAAGCACACACCAGGTCTGATGAATCAGGCAAGCCACAATCAACATCAGGTTGTGTCTCAATTTGTTGGCAACCAATACCAAAGGAAGTCCTCAATGTCCCTAGTTGTGCCCTCAAGCCATGCAGATGAGGATCTTGCTCATGAGATAGAAGCTCTGAAGATAGTTGACAGTTATGGTTCTCAAAAGCACCAGAGTGGAAGAAGTGAAAATGGCTTTGCCATTTCACCAAGCAGACTGCACAAAAAGGATGACATGGTTGATTGCGACAAACAGAGTGTGTAAGTCCTAACCTGTGTGTTTTGATTACATGCTCTCATTTGAGCCTTTATCCTGACCTTCAAATTTTAAAACACATATAATCATTCAATACAGCTAGGACATTGATTAACATGCAAATTTGTCATTCTAGTCAAATTAATTGGAGACAACTTGATTTGTTGTTATGACATGGTTTATCTGATTATTGAAATTGAGCCATACTAATCTTTAGAATTTATGACATGTACTCGACACATTACATTGATTCTGTCTGCAATTCTGTATGGCCTCTGAAATTCACCATGCTTACCATGTCTAATTCACAGAAGCTCTGAGCTTGGAAAATCGGGATGCCATGGCCTTTTCACCTTGTTGGAAAACTCAAAAGCCAAAGGGAGTAAAGGTAAATCTCAAATGCTCTTATCTCTTGCAGTGGCATCAAACATCCGGCATGCAACCTGACACCTGTGTGTACTACAGACGAAGAGGCAGATGCGGGTGAAATCTTCTTAGTCTGGCAGAGCTGTTTAACATGCCGATGATGATGTAGCGAACCCTGGGAGTAAAATACGTGATTGAAATGGTTCTTGTTTTGCACAATGACACATTGTTTGGTTCAGAACACAAGGACATTTGAAACTACTACCATATTCACTTCAGCATCCTTCTTCTATACTGAAATTCAACTTTGATGGCCTTCATGGGGCAGGATTTTGTTTCAATAACTATCTATGACAGGTTCAGGGACGGAGGACAATTTCTCCAGCATTCAGCTGCAGGTGTAATCTTGATTTTGTATTCCAATGTGGTCCTAGCAAAGTTATGTGCTCCTTGTTATCTTGGGAAAAAGAAGAAAGAGAATATATCTTGTACTGACATTTGGATTGCAATGTTTTTACTTTGTAGACAATGTCAAACGACGAACATCACATGAATGAAACTGATGGATATATACTTAAGTTACCGAATCTGTCTGACTCTTTTGTCCTAATGAATAATAACGATCATGTGCTCGTGTTACCTGTTATGCTTCATTCTGTTAGAATTAATTACTCCTTTATGTAATCCCTTAGCTTCCTGTGCCGCCTGCTTGGCTGGACAGGCCCCTTCACACTCGACTGGCCCCTTGGGCCACCTTCCTGTAATCCCTATATATGTAAACACTCTACAATCTATCTATTATGATCCTAAAGCCTGTTGGCTTAACTCTCTATCATGGTATCAAGAGACTAATCTGGTCCTGTGCCCGTTCCCCTGCTTCCGCTTTTTCCTGGCACCCGCGCTCGGCGCTTCGATCGCCGCGCCCGCGTCGCCTCTTCATGCGCGCGCGCCTTCACGGCCGCCGCGCGCCTCTCGACGACCCCCGCGCGCCCTTGACGGCAGCAGCGCGCGCCCCTTCGACGGCCACCGCGCGCGCCCCTTCGTCGGCCACCACGCACACCCCGTCTGCTGCCGCCCATGGCTACCGGCGATTCCTCCAGCTCTGGCGCCTCGGCTGCCGCCGCAGCGGCCAAACTTCGTGATGAAACCATCGCCGCCGCCAAGAAACTGGAAGACGAGGCCACTGCTCTGCGGTCCTCCAACGCCGAGCGCAGTCAGCTCCTTCAAGAGGAGGCGGACCTTCTCAAGTCTGCCGCCGCCGCCCAGGAACGCGTCCGCGCTGCCGCCGCTGCTCTCGACACGGAGCGCGCGCAGGCTGACGCCCTGGAGCGACAGGCCTCTGCCCTCCGCGACCGGCTTCGCGCTGAGTCCCTCCGCGACGACACCTTCGAAGATGACGACACGCGCTCCATCACCTCTGAGGCCGCGGCCATCGCTCACCTTCATAGCCAGGCCGCCGCCGTGCAGAACATCAAGAATTTGATCCCCATCGTCCTTGATCTGCAGTCCTCCAACTACTCCAAATGGCGTGGCTACGTCCTTCTCATCCTCGGCCGCTACGCCCTGAAGGACCATGTCCTCAGCGATGTTCCTCACCCCTGTGATGCGGCGTGATCTCGCATGGACTGCGTCGTCGTCTCATGGATCTTCAACACCATCTCCCCCGACCTCCTCGACGTCGTTCACGAGCGCAACGGCCTCACTGCTCGGGCAGCATGGCTCGGCCTCGAACAGCAGTTCTTCAACAACCGCAAATCACGCGCCATGCTCCTCGATGGCGAGTTCATCACCCTCTGCCAGGGCGCCCTCTCCATCGACGAATACTGCCGCAAGATGAAGAGTATGGCAGATGCGCTTGCCGACCTTGGCGAGCCCGTTCTAGACCGCACGCTGGTGCTAAACGTCCTGCGCGGACTCAATGAACGATTCCAGTTCATGTCGCAGCTCATCACTCGACAGAGGCCATTCCCCTCCTTCACTGACGTCCGTGCTGATCTCCGCCTTGCTGAACTCAACATGGTGCCACCTTCAGCACCGCCATCAGCCCTCGTCGCCTCATCGTCCGGCAAGCAGCCCGCTACTCCCCCGCCCTCTGCTCCTCCGCGTCCTCATCAGACTACCGGGGGGCAGCTGTCTGGCCACGGGAACGGTCGCGGTCGACGTCGCCGCGGCGGACGCCGCCAAGGCGGTGCACAGGGCGGCTCACCAAGCAGCCAGCAACACCCAGGCGGCCAGCAGCACCCAGGTGGTCAGCAGTGGCCTTCCATGTTCAACCCATGGACCGGGTCCATCCATATGTGGCCCGGGTCCACTCCTGGCGGTCCTCGCGGTCCACCGCCTCGCACTGTCCCGCCTCCATCACCGCAGCAAACCCTAATGGCTCGTGTGCCCCCGGGTTACTTCACTCCACCGCCAAACCCCGGGGCATACTACCAGGCACCTCAGCAGGCGCCCTCTCCTACTTGGTCGCCATGGACCACTGAGGCCCTCGCCAACGCCTTCAGCACCGTCTCCCTGACTCCGCCATCGGGCTCCTCGGACTGGGTTATTGACTCCGGTGCTTCCTCTCACATTGCTTCCAACTCTGGTATGGTCACAGCTTCGCCATCTTCTTTCTTTCCATCCTCCATTGTTGTTGGCAATGGCGCCACTCTCCCAGTCGTTGGCACTGGTTTTTCCATCCTTCCTGGCCCGTTTCGCCTCAATAATGTTCTTATAGCTCCTGATATTATTAAAAATCTGCTTTCCGTTCGCAAGTTCACAACTGACAATTCTGTTTCAGTTGAATTTGACCCTCTTGGTGTTTCTGTGAAGGATCTGCATTCCAAGAACACCCTCCTTCGATGTAACAGCCAGGGACCTCTCTACACCTTGCAGCTGCCTACGTCCTCCTCCGGTCCCTGCGCACTGGTGACTACTCCCTCCCAGACTACCTGGCATCGCCGTCTCGGTCACCCTGGCAAGGCTGCTCTTCAGAGTCTTGCTCAGTCCTCTTCCATCATCTACCGCAAGCCTGACGCCGACTCCCTCTGCCATGCGTGTCAACTTGGACGCCATGCTCGTTTACCGTTTACTAGTTCCTCTTCTAGAGCAGCTCAGAACTTTGATTTGGTGCATTGTGATTTGTGGACATCACCTATTACCAGTGTATCCGGTTCCAAATATTACCTTGTCATCCATGATGACTGCTCTCATTTCCTTTGGACCTTTCCTCTTCGGTTCAAGTCTGACACTTTTCCGACTATTTCCAATTTTTTTGCTCATGTCAGAACTCAGTTCGGCTGCACCATCAAAACAGTACAGTGTGACAACGGCCGTGAGTTTGACAACTCCGCCTCCCGTGCATTCTTTCTTGCCAACGGCGTTTCTCTCCGTATGTCCTATCCCTATACATCTCAACAAAATGGGAAAGCCGAGCGCATGATTCGCACCACTAACAATGTCACCCGAACCCTCCTCTTTCAGGCTTCCATGCCACCTTCCTACTGGGCTGATGCCCTTGCCACTGCTACTCTCCTCCTGAATCGACTCCCTACCAAGACGCTGCACATGAGCACTCCCTTCTTTGCGCTCTATGGCACCCACCCCTCGTACCATAACCTACGAGCTTTCGGGTGCACCTGTTATCCCAATCTCACCGCCACAACACCCCACAAACTTGCTCCACGCTCCGCTCTATGTGTGTTCATCGGCTACTCGCCTGATCACAAGGGCTACAGGTGCCTCGATCTCGCCACCAACCGGGTCATCGTTTCCCGGCATGTTGTTTTCGATGAAACAACTTTTCCGTTCTCCCTTCGCCGATCCTCACCTCCTCCACAGGAGCTTGATTTTCTAACTAACGATGACCCCCTACCAGTTTTTCCTTTACCTACAGGTACCCCTGATCTTGCTGGCACTATGCCGGCATCCACTTCACGTGTCTGCTCCCAGACATCGCCATCAGACACCCCGCTGGCTGGACTGGGCGCCCCAGCGTCCAGATCGCCTCCACCAGGCTTCCCCGTCCTCTCGCCGCTGCTCGCCCCGGTGACTAGATCATGCACGCCAGTCCCCCAGGCGCAGCCTCCCGTCACTCACGTGTACTCCAGGCGCCTCCCCGCTTCTGGCTCATCCGCTGCACCCGCTGCAGAGGCCCCTCCTCGACGCTCCAGCATTGTTCCCTCCCCACCGCGCTATGTCAAGCACGGCCCTCCGGTTCCAACAACGGCTGTCCCCATCCCTCCGGTCGCCAACTCTCATGGCATGGCGACCCGCGGGAAGTCTGGGTATCGGCAGCCTCGTCTAGCCTTACATACTGAGGCCCTGTCACCAGTACCGCGGTCCTGTCGTGAAGCTCTTGCCAATCCGCACTGGCGTCGTGCCATGGAAGAAGAACATGCTGCTCTCTTGGACAACCACACGTGGGACCTTGTTCCTCGTCCGGCCAAGGCAAATGTGGTCACTAGAAAATGGATTTTCAAACACAAGTTTCATGCTGATGGCTCCTTGGACAGATACAAGGCTCGTTGGGTCCTTCACGGATTTACACAGCGCCCCGGTGTTGATTACGATGAGACTTTCAGCCCTGTCGTCAAACCAGCCACAGTTCGTACCGTTCTCACCTTGGCACACTCTCGGGATTGGCCCATTCATCAACTCAA